GGGGTACAAAGGCAATTTTTTCCCTATTTTTTGGGGTACAAAGGCAATTTTTTCCCTATTTTTTTGGTCTGAAAGAAGATTTTTTTCCCTAGTTTTTTGGTTTGAAATAAACCTTTTTCCCCTAGTTTTTTTGAGTTAAAAAGGGATTTTTCTCCTGTTATTTTTTGTAGAAAAGGGATTTTTTTTTTCCTATTTTTGGGGGTAGAAAAGGGGTTTTTTCCACAATTTTTTTTGCTGTTGACTCCTCAAATTAACCCATTCCCTCCTCATCCCCACAGAGAGTTTCCAAGCAGGAAAACAGCTCCCTGAGACACTCCAGCTCCGACTGATCCATCTTTTTGGAGCCATCCTCTCTGGCTCCAAGGTAATGCTGAGGAGGGAGAGAATTGGGATCATCATTCCAGGGATAAAAAACCCCAAAGGCTGGAATTAAACCATGGATTTTTCCAAAGCTTTTCAAAATCATACTTAAAATTCCAGCCCTAAATCCGGGTGGGATCAGCTTAAAAACCATTAAATCATTGAATTACATAGCTGAATTTAGTAAAATAATAAAATAAGTAAGGAAAAAGATTAAATTAAAAAATTAAGTTAAATAATTCAATAAAATAGTTACGTTAAATAATTAAAATAAGTAAAATAATTCCATAAAATTATGAAACCCAATAATCAGATTAAGTAAAATAATTCAATAAAATAATGAAAACCAGTAATTAGATTAAGTCAAATAATTCAATAAAATATGGAAAATTATTGAATTAAAAAAATTAAATTAAATAATTAGGTTAAATAAAATAATTCAATAAAATAGTTAAGTTAAATAATTAAATTAAGTAAAATAATTTAATAAAGTAATGAAAACCAGTAATTAAATTAAGTCAAATAATTCCATAAAGTAATGAAAACCAGTAATTAGATTAACTCAAATAATTCCATAAAATAATGAAAACCAGTAATTAGGTTAAGTCAAATAATTCCATAAAATAATGAAAACCAGTAATTAGATTAAGTCAAATAATTCCATAAAATAATGAAAACCAGTAATTAGATTAAGTCAAATCATTCAATTAAATAATTACCTTAAATAATTGAATTAAGCTAAATAAATAAATAAATAAATAAATAAAGTAATTCAATTAAGTAAAATAATTCAATTAATAAAAATAATTAAATTATGGGAAGGTTTGAAGTTGAAGCTGCTGCCTCACCCCCAGTCCAGCTCTGGGATGGAGGATGGAAAACTCTTGGATTCATAAATCCGATCGGAAATAAATTTTAATCAACATAACAATTAAAAATTAATGTAATCAATAACTGCAAAATTGACTTTAAATCAGTTTACTCCCTCGGGGTCAGGGGGGTCAGACCTGGAGGCCCGAAAGCCTCGGGTTATCTCAACTCCAGGGTTTGATGTGGTGCCGGGCTCCATAAATCCCATCCCTTTCGTTCTCCATAAATCCCATCCCTTCCCATCTCCATAAATCCCATCCCTTCCCATCTCCATGAATCCCATCCCTTCCCAGCTCCATAAATCCCATCCCTTTCTTTGTCCACAAATCCCATCCCTTTCTTTCTCCATAAATCCCATCCCTTTCTTTCTCCATAAATCCCATCCCTTCCCTTCTCCATAAATCCCATCCCTTCCTGACTCCATAA